AGATTTCAAAACCTCCCTAAGTTGAAACCTCTTCAAGTTGAATTGTTGTGCTGGTTGCTTGAAATTTGACTTAGAGAGGTTCAACTGTACTTGAATTTTGAGTCCAAATTGTATGTTGGTTATTATTCCACTGGGACAGTTTGTCATTCTGATCACGTCATGTTACCCAAACCCTGTTTTCAAATTGCTTCTTCAAACCCTGTTGAAATTTGTTTTATTTTTTGTTGTTGCGACTTCTTGATGATTTTTAAAGTTCACTGCATTTAGTTTAGTTTGATGCATTTAAAGTGGTGTGGTGTTATTGTCTTTTGAAATCTGAGTGTCTTTGTTCAAAATTTATTATTGGAATTTTTTCTGAATGTGAACATTTAAAGCGTTTTTTAAGGAATGTTCCAGGCTTCTCAAAACAGATTATATTGGTGTAACAATGTGAGCTGTGAGTGACGTTCTGGCGAATCAAGGCGAGGTTATTTTGATTCTTAGAACGAAGGATGAATATTGAGATTGTCTTTTTTTGTTATTAATATCACATTATATCTCGTACTCTCTCACCTGACTTTTGATTCGGAAGCAGAAGGACAATTTGAATTGCATGACTGAATGAAGAAGGCGCGTGGAATTTGTTTTTTTTTTGCATGGAAATTAAATCCTTGGCTTAATTGACGTCGGTTTTGCGTTGGATTTGGAGAATATCAGACGTTGCATGAAGAAAAAAGAAAGACGTAGTTGTTTGTAATCCTCTCAGTTTTGGAATCATTGGCTGTTCAAACGAAGGTTTATGAATGAAAGGTCTCCATTTTTTTCTGTGGAGAGGTAATCGTTGTTTAAAACTTGATTTTATTTTCTTTCGATTTGCGAATTTTTGTGGGACGTAGGTGTGATTTATTACGCCTAGGAAGTTTTAGAATTCATCCGCGTTTGCTTTTTTTTTNGCTATTATTATTTTTATTTTTTTTTTTATTGCGGCCTCTGACTTTAGCATTCTGTGGAACTGTGTTGACTGAATTTGGTCATTTGAGTGTGAATGTTCCGGTTGACGAACGTTTTCCACTGTTTGGCAATATCCTTATTTTTCGTTTCCCCATATTGGCAAAAAAAATTATGTTTTTTCTCACTTTTTTTTAATGATGTAGAAAATTCTCTAGAATTTATTAGAATAATTAATTTTCAGGTTTCCACGGTCTTCATTTTATTATTGGAACAGCATTTTTAATCATTTGTCTTATGCAAAAATACATTTCATTTTTCGTTGAAACATAAAATAATTACTCCTACGTTCCATGTAGAACGTTGTCAACTATTTTATTCATTTTTTTCTGGGTCGTATGAAAATTTTTTTTAAAGTCCGAGCTATTGTTTCTTGCAAGATTCACTTGTTTGAATCTCGCTTAAATTTTTTTAAATGGATGAAATGTTTGATTATTTTTCGTCTTATTTCCTTCAATTTAATTCGAACTCGTGAGCAAATCAAATTGGATAATCTTCGAAAACTGATTTTATTGGAGATTGCTTCAGAAAAGAAAAAGAAACGTTGCTCCGAGTATATTTATATTGAAATTACAACAATGGTAAAGAGTTGATTGATTCATTTCCCGTTGCTTGGTCCAGTTATCACTGAGTTTGACAACAATTTTAAATTAAAACTCGAGTTTTTACTTGGAAATCTGCTTTTGTACTGAAAACTCACTATTAAGTGAGATGCGCACCGCATTTTTGGAGACTATTAAATTTCGTTGAAAATAAAATTAACTAGAATTTTCAAATTTTGGCTTGAATCAAATTGAATGACGATTTTCAAGTTTTTTTTTTTAATTTTCTGTTGAGATTGGTTCACAATTCCCTATTGCAATCAACTATGATTGCGCACCAACGTTTTAAAAACATAATTGAAACAAAATTCCTCTGAATAAGTCTTGATTTAGAAGATAGCACTTGATTTTTTAAAAAGGCGTGGGTTGTACTTGAGTGACTACTCAACTGAGCAAAAGTTTTCCCTTGTATCTTTTTTGTCAAATGGATGTGCATTGTACTAAGACAATAACAGTTGAAAATTCTTTATTACATCCCTTGTAAAACTGTTCAAGAACTGATGCTCTGAAAATGTATATCAATGCTTTTATTGATAGTATGATAATATTCAGTCTTGAGTATTGGGTATACAGTGAGACCCCATGATGTGGACATAGTTGGTGCATCCAGAGTGTCCCTAAGTCAAGTCTCAATCTCCTTTAGACTTACATTATATAATTTTTAATTGCTGTTTTATAGACAAAATACTCACCATACTTCCATGAAAATAAAAGTTGTCTCCCAATTAAAACTGATTCAATCAATATATTTCAACGCAATATGGACATTTGGGGAATTGAATAATGATACCTCTGTAACAGTACATAGAAATGTTGGCATTCTCTGTAAAAAAATGACGTTCAAGTGAAAAAGAGAGAAGTAAGTCCCTCTATGCTGGAGGTTAATTTTTTTTAATTAGCTAAATGGATGGTAAATTGGTGAAAAAAGAGAGAAGGAAGTCCCTCTATGCTGGAGGTAATTTTTAAAAATGAGCTAAATGGACGGTAAATTGGTGAGAGAAATGCCCAAGAACTTTTCTTACATCAATTTTATGGTTGGAAATGTCTGTTTCTTGTCAATTTGGCAGGAAACTTATTTGGGCCAATTTTATCACAAAATGTCCCTATGTCGAGTCAGTTTCCTCATGTTGGGCCTTTATTATTAATTTTCTTATTGGAAAATAAGTGTCCCTATGTCAAATTGTCTGGATGGCAAGGTGTCCGCACATGCGGGTCCCACTGTTTTTCAAATGAAATTTGATTCACTTGTGTTTCATGTGGTAAGTTTTTTTTTTTTGAGGCTGTGAGGAAAAACGAAATGCGATTTTCTCGAAAAAAAATAGAAAAGAAATTTCCGTTTGAAATTGTGCTAAATTGTGGAAAACTCTGTGTTGATCCGGACACTTGATGAGCAAATTCGGACACCACAGTTCCTCCTTTTCTTTCGTCATTTCATTCATTATAGCCGCTTGGGTTTGATCTCCTGGACCGGAAGCGAGGGAAAAGAAATGGGTAACCCCGGAAAACGCGCGTGATTTTTTACGTTGTTCATTAGATGTGTGATATTTCTTCCCAAACGAAAAGAAAAAAAAAGATTATGAAAGGATTACGTTCGTAATCTTCCGCTTTAAAATTTTAAAAAAATACGAGACGTACTTTTTTGCGTTAGAAAAAAATGAAGCTGGTGCGCGGACACGGAGTTTTTTTTTTTTTCTTGCCGCCAATTTTTTTTTTTTTTTTTTTTTGCGTGTCGAATGCCCCAGTTGTTCCGTTGTTCTGCAGAAATGCCAAAGAGGAAAAAAGAAGAGTAACTTTTTTGGGAGTATGTGGATTCGGGCTCGAGGGGAATTCTTTGCGTTTTTCTCCCGCATTTTTGTTTTGCCTTTTGGAACCGTGTTTTATTTTGACACTGGGATGCGAAAGAAAACGAGGCGATTTTCGGCCTCTTTTACCTGTTTTCCGAGAAAGGGCAAAAATGAGAAAAACATGAGCCGAATTCCGTGTGTTTGCTGCGGAAATAGAAAAGAGAATATCTGTGGAAACTTTTCATGTCTGTTTCGGAGCGAGTGTTTTTTGTTTTTTTGGTGAGACTGTTGCCTGGGAGAATTTTTGCAAATTTTTCTTTACAAGCCTTGTATAAAAAAGAAGAATTTCCCTAGATCTTCCTTGAAGTCTATTTTGTAAAACTTAATCAGATTTATGTACATTTTGCGAGATGTGATTTTTTATTTATTTATTTGTCAAACATGCCGTGACAAAATTTTGCTTGCTATTTTCTTTGTGATTTTGCTCTTGAACCAAATTGAAGACATGAGCGTTTGACTCAATTGATGTATCTCCTCGAGCACGTGGATTTTATGCAGATTTTTTTCGTTTTTAATTTTTGTTGTGGCCCGAGGCCAAGCAGTAAAATTTCCAGGCAGAAAAATATTTTTAAAAATAATTTTGGTACAATAATTCGTATTCCGTTTTTGGTACAATAAGATGTGTTTATTTTTGGTACAATAATTTGTATTCATTTCTGTACAATAATTTGTATTCATTTTTGGTACAATAATTTGTATTCATTTTTGGTCAAACAATTTGTATTCATTTTAAGTAAATTAATTTTTTTTCACTTTTGGTATAATCTGTATTTTTTTATACAGTACAATAATCTGTATCCATTTCTATACAATAATTTGTATTCATTTTTGGTACCAAAATTTGTATTCATTTCTGATGAAATAATTGTATATATTTTTTATACAATAATTTGTATTCATTTCTGTACAATAATTTGTGTTCATTTTTGGTACCATAATTTGTATTCATTTCTGATAAAATAATTGTATTTATTTTTATACAATAATTTGTATTCATTTCTGTACAATAATTTGTATTCATTTTTGGTACCATAATTTGTATTCATTTTTAGTAAAATAATTTGTATTCATTTTTGTACATTAATTTGTATTTCTTTTTGGTATAATAGTTTGTATTTCTTTTTCTTACAATAATTTGTATTCATTTTTGACAGAAAAATTCATATTCATTTTTGGAACAATAATTTGTATTAATTTTTGACAGAAAAATTCATATCCATTTTTGGAAGAATAATTTTTTATTCATTTTTGGCACAATAATTTCTCTTCATTTTTGGTACAATAATTCAACAAAATAATCACTCATAATTAATTCCTGGATTTTAATTCTTAATTTTTTAAATGCATTTTCAGTGGGTTTAACCTGGTTTTGGAGATAGGAAAGAAACGTTCACTTATTTTTTCTGGGAATAATTTTAGTTGGAATACGCGCGAGATTTTCTGATGACTGAATTTGCAAAAGTTCTTCCGGGATGCGTCATTCTTTCAATTCGAAAATTTGTTGAAAAATCGTGGTTACAGAAAATTTCCGCGGGATTTTTGGTTGAATTTGCGCTAATCTTGAAAAGGTATTTCTGATGTGGTGTGCAGATAAAGAAAAAAAAAGAAATATGAGCCAGGCTGTGACTGCGGCGAGGAGTCCGCGGGGTCGGGAAGATGATTTCGAAGAAGTGGAGAATTTCCACGGGGTCTATTTGCTGTGCTCCACGAACCCCAAGTACAAGGGATGGACTTACATCGGCTACACCGTGGATCCCAACCGGAGGATCGTGCAGCACAACAAGGGTCGGAAACACGGCGGGGCCTTTAGAACCAGTAACCGAGGTCCTTGGTGGGTATATACACAGTACAGTACTTTTCTCGAATGTACAGTGGACCCTTGCTTAAGCTTAAGGAACTTTTGGGTTTTGAGGGAAAAAAAAACCTTGGTTACCAAACCGAAATTTGGTCAAAAAACTTTTTTTCTGGGGGGGGAAATCTCAAGCTTATTAAAATTCAAAATTTGATTTTAAGGCTGAAATTTAGGATACAAATGTACAGCAGTGAGACCCACAGATGCAGACATGATTGGTGCATCAAGAGTGTCCCTAAGTTGAGTCTTGTTATCCCAAGGACTTGCATTATATGAATTTCAACTGGTGTTTTATGGAAGGAATATTCTTCAGAATTCAATGAAAAGAAATTGTTTGCCAATTGAATTTGATTCATTGAATATATTTTCAACTCAATATGAACATTTGGAGCATCGAATACTGTACCTCTGTACAGTACATTGAAATGTATTGGCATCTGCAAAAATAAAATGCAAGTCACAAAGAGAGAAGGAAGTCCCTCTATGCTATAGGTAATTTTTTTTTATTTGCTGAATGGATGGGAAAGTGATGGGAGAAATACCAAAGAAATTTTCTTTCATAGATCTTTGGGTTGGAAATATCTGTTTTGTGCAATCAAGCCAAATAAAAGTCAATTTTCCTGAAATTTATTGGCAATGTTATCATGCAATGTCCACATGTTGAGTCAGTGTCCATATGTTGGGCATTTTTTATGATTTTTTGTATTGAAAAATGAATGTCCCTGTGTCACATTGTCTGCATTTTAAGATGTCTGCATGTGGGGGTCTCATGGTGAGTCCAAGTAATTCACCTGTGCACTGATTTGAAAAGTCTTCCCTTTTGGCACTCTAATATGTACTGTATCATCAGGTGTTAAGAAAAACTTTTTTGGCTACATTATTCGTATTGTTCTCCTAAAAATTGCCAGAGTTTACCCATGTTGCAAAAGGCTGATATTTTGTCATGCCAGTTGAAAATTGAAATTTCTCTCTTTTTTTACGATTTTTAAAAATCTAGAAATGGTTAAGGTTGAATCAATGGCAAACCATTCCTCAAGTAATTTTCACCAGGTTGTTGGGAGTTCTTTTTGACAAGATTTTTACTGTAATTAATATATCTTTACTTTCCAGGGACATGGTTTTGATTGTCCACGGATTTCCAAATGACGTTTCTGCGCTGAGAGTGAGTTTAGTATTACGCATGATTTTATTTTCTGTTTGTTATTAAGCTGCTTTATTTATCTGAGGACCACGCGCACTTTTTTCAAAATTGCAATTGAAAGCAAAAAAAAAACATTTAATGAACAACAGAGACAATTTAAATATTTGTGCATGCTTTTGATTCAATGCAGAGTGTTGAAATTAAATTTAAAATGTTTGTACTACAAGGGAAAGTTGGAACTTGAATTACAGCAAGACCCACACATGTGGACACCTTGACATGCTGACAATTCAACATAGGGACACTTATTTTCCCATTAAAAATAAATATAAAAAAAGGCCTAACATGAGGACATTGACTCAACATAGGGACATTTGGTGATAAAATTGCAAATAAGTTTCAGGCCAAATTACAAGAAACAGATATTTCCAAATCTAAAATTGATGTAAAAAAAAGTGCTTGGGCATTTCTCTCAACAATTCACCATCCATTTAGCTGATTTAAAGAAAATTACCTCCAGCATAGAGGGACTTACTTCTCTCTTTTTCACTTGAATGTTATTTTTTACAGAGAATGCCAACATTTCTATGTACTGTACAGAGGTATCAGTATTCAATTCCCAAAATTTTCATATTGTGTTGAAATATATTGATTGAATCAGTTTCAATTGGGAGACAATTTTTATGTTCATGGAATTATGGCAGTATTCTGTCTATAAAACACCAATTAAAAGCTATATAATGTAAGTCTAAGGGAAAATGAGACTCAACTTAGGGACACTCGTGATGCACCAATTATGTCTGCATCTCAGGGTCTCACAGGAATATTATTTGTTGTGGCCCGCAACTGCAAGGTGGCCTTTTACCACATCTGTGTTGGGCAGGACTGTTCAAAAAATTTTGGGTATGCTCCATACTTGAGTAAATAAGATTGCTTCTTATTCTTCTTTTGTTTGACCGCATTTATTTTAATTATTATTCTTTTTTTTTAGTTCGAGTGGGCCTGGCAACATCCAAAACGGTCTCGAAGATTGAGGTGCATCATCCCAGTGAAGAAGAGCCGAATGACAAAGTTTCAGTGGTTGATTGAACTGCTTGGGAGGATGCTTTGTGTGGATCCCTGGTGCCGACTGCCATTGACGCTCCGCTGGCTCATGCCCAAGTATAAAACGCCCTTCACTGTGAGTGAGATTTTTATTTTTGTGAGGGGCTTCTGCAATTCCTTAGGCTTTTGAAATAATTTTTCGTTATTTTGTTTTGGCAGCATTTTGTTGAAGCTGTAGAAAATTAGCAGAATTTCAAAGAGAATCGTCCAATGAAATATACAAGCATTGTACAAAAGAATGTACAGTGAGACCACCACATGCATACACCTCAACATGTGGACAATTTGACATAGGGTCACTTATTTTCCCATAAATAATGCGCAAGAAAGGCCCAACATGTGGACACAGACTCAAGATGAGGACATTGCATGATAAAATTGCCAATACATTTCACAAAAGTTGACCTTTATTTGGCTTGATTGCAAGAAACAGATATTTCCAACACTGAGATTTATGCAAGAAAAAATTCTTTGGTATTTCTTCCATCACTTTCCCATACATTCAGCTAATTAAAAAAATTATCTTCAGCATAGAGGGACTTCCTTCTCTCTTTGTGACTTGAATGTTATTTTTGCAGATGCAAACATTTCAATGTACAGTACAGAGGTACGCTATTCAATGCTCCAAATGTTCTTATTGAGTTGAAAATATATTCACTAAATCAAATTCAAGTGGCAAAAAATTTTTTCATGGAATTCTGAAGAATATTCTGAAGGAGGGGGGGGGGGGAATACTTTTTACTTCTAGGAATTATTTAGAGTACGTTACTGTACACGGTGTGCATGCCCAACCAAGATCAACCACTTCATTGTTTTGTTTTTTGTTTTTCTTCAGGGCGAATGGATCCCACCCAGTCACATCCAGTACGTGGACGGACTAGTGAAATCCCGTCGAATCCGAGACGTCCTCGAGAACTCGACTCATTCCGCGTCCGGAAACGGATCCTCGTGTTGCCTCGTGTGCGGAGAAGATGTCGCTTCGGTCGCGGACCAGCTCCGTTGTTTCGGCTGCTACAACAAATTCCACCTTCGCTGTTTGGCGGACTTGTTTTTGCGGCGTTCCGGTGAAGTGACTGATGGAATCGTGCCCGTGAGCGGCACTTGTCCGACCTGTGATTTGCAAGTCATGTGGGGCGATTTGGTTAGGTTCAAAAAGGGCTGTTTCCGGGACGTTTTCAGAGATCCCAGTGTTCCTCATCAGCTGAGCCAGCCTTGAAAATTAAAAAAGTAAATTGGAAATAGTTTCTTTTAAACGTGATGCAGGAAAAATTATCGTTACATTTAAGTTTTGAAACAGCGTCGTTGTAACGAGGAATTCGTTACAAGGGGATTTGAATCGTATTATTGCTATTATTGGGCACGACTTTGTTGTGATGAATACAGTGAGACCCCGAGATGCAGACATAATTGGTAAATGAAGAGTGTCCGTAAGTCGAGTCTTGTTTTCCCGTAGACTTATAAATAATGTAATTTTTAATTGGTGTTTTATGAAAGAAAATTTCAATAAAAATTCCTTCGTAAAATAAGAAAAAAATTCTGCTGATTGATGATGATTCCATCAGTGTTTTCCAACTCATGAATAACATTTGGAGCATTGGGTACATAAAAATTCACACAATGCACAATTGATGTGCCATTGCTGAATGTTGAGATCCATAAATTCAGCAACTCTCCTCTTCTTTTCCTTTCTTCTCCAGCTGGGGCATCTTTAAGATTCCTTTTATTAGTTCCACAGTTGGCACATTCTTGATTGTTTCAGAAGTTTCTCAAGGAACATACATGGAAAAATACCCAGGTAAAAATGCTGTAACTCTGTACAGCAATATTTTGCATTGAAATTTTACCATTTCCTGTAAAAAATTAAATTTTTCAAAAAGAGGGAAGAAAATCCCTTCTCTCTTGAGAATCTCTATGATTGAGGTAAATTTTTAAAATTATGAATGAATGTACAGACACTTTATTTGCTGCTTTTCAGCATTCACAAGGTTCAATCAAAATTTCCACAACCAAACCCCCTTCCCACCCAACTTTATTGATTAATATTTTTTTTAAATCAACTAAATGGATGGGAAAATGATGACAGCATTCCCAAACAATTTTTGTTACATAGATCTTACCATCCCATGGTTATGAATATCTGTTTCTTGTAATTAGGCCTGAAAAAGTCAATTTTTCTAAAATTTGTATGTCTGCAGGTTGAGTCAGTGTCTACATGTTGAGCCTTTTTTTTAATTGGAAAGAAAGTGTCCCTAAGTCAAATTGTCTGCATGTGGGGGGGCTCACTGTCATTTGTTAGAATAAAATTCTTCCAAATGAGGCCTGAGTTGTAATGAATTTCTCTGCTGTCACATAGATGTCGCCTGGGTCGTGTTTCCCAGTTCTTGAGTTTTTATCAGGTTAAAAAATATATAATAATTGAAATTTTAGATGCGAAGGGCCTGGGATATTCAGACTTGCTTCTTGGAATTTTTGTGTTCAATGAATTTCTTTTATTGTTCATGAAAGTGTACTGCAAATTTTGGTTTTTTGTGAGAAGCAGATCAAGAGAAGGTTGATATTTTTTTAATTTTTGACGAGGCGCGTTGTTGATCGATTTTTGTGAAAAATATTTTTTTGCGATGCTTGCTTTCAGTTTGTGTCACGATTTTCGGGAATCCTTTTTTGTTTGCTGTTGACTAACTGATGTTGTTTCTGTCTACCTATCGATTCATTCTACAGGAACGCGGCTTTTTGTTTTTTTGAGTGATGCGCATGAGCCATGGCAATGTTCGGTGTACTTGTTTCTGGTAGATTGGTAAGTCTTTTTTTTGTTGGTCCTTTCCCGGAAATGGTTTGTGTAAAGTTTTATTCTTTTTTTTAATTTAGGCGCAGACTGATTTCGTTCAAGCAGATCCCACGCATTTCCTTCTAACGATCAACGATGCTGACAATATAAACTATGTGGTCGTATTCATGACTGGAACCACGCCTTTCCCTGATGACATGGGAGGTGGAGGTGAGAAAATCCTCTTATATTTTTTTCAATTGTTTGTTGTCATTGTTTTGTGAATTTGTGTTGGGACAAGGTCGTGAGATGTTTTTTTTTTAATTATCTATGGGGAAATTTCCTGGTTTTTGGCAAAGCTCAGAAGTAGTTTCCACATGATGGTCAATATGTTTTTAAATTTTTATTTTCGGAAACAAATTTCGGAATATTATTTTCCAAAGTTGTACAGGGAGAAAATTCTTAATATTTTTTTTTTTTTGCCCAGTGTACTTCAGTTGGCCAAGTGCGGAAGCTCCTCCTCAATGGCAATACCTCGGACAGATCTCAAACGAAAAGCCCTCGGCGATATTCCGCATATCCCGGCTCAAGTCGAGCGGCCTGGAGGCGTCCTCTGTCCCTGTGGGCTTTGGCCAGAAGGTGACGCACAACGCCCAAATCGGCATTTCCCTGGAACCCCTGCAAGTGCTTCGCTCCATGACACCAGCAGTGGAAACATCCGCTGAATTGGCAGCCGTGGGCTTCGTGGAATTCACTCAGCGGATGTTGGAGTCGTTTCTCAACTTTGTGACGAGTTTCAGTCAGACGCAGGGACAGATGTCGCCCGCTCCCAACGAGATCTTCGTGCCGCTATCCTACGTCCAGACGTGGTATCAGAATTTCGAGCGGCGACTGGCGCAGAACGTGTATTTTTGGAAGAATTGAGCGTTTTTACACTATAGGGCATGATTAAAAAATGGGTTCCTCGCACGTGGCTCCTGAACGCCCGTCATTTCCACCACTGCTTCCTGTTCATTATTCCATTGATTAATTGCTGCTTTTTCTTTTTATACAATGTGTCTGTGCAGATAAAGTGCCTGCATGCCTGCAACTTGAGATGCCAATAAGAGAGCTGAAATGAACTACCGTAGAACTCATTATCAATTGATTCAGCCGAAGTACTGTACTGATTCACTTTCTTGAGTAAAAAAGACTCATATTCCTTTTTAAATTGATAAGAAGTGCTGCCTTTGTTCATGGACATTATCTGATGTGGAGGAATTTCCATTATGTTGATGAAATTAATTTGAATTTATTAAATAAATGTTTTGTTAGGGATTGACCTAAAAGTTGTTAGATTGGAAGTAGCTCATCCATTTCATTAACATGTCCTTAAATTAAATGAAAAACTGTCACAAATAATGAATCTTTCATATCTCCTGTTCTTTCCTTGTGATTGTTAGAAAGCCAGCTAAGGAAAAAATTCAAAATCATAACTCTATGAAACATATGAGAGTCTTGTATACACCCAAAGAAATAACCTTAGTGATGGTGAAGCTTTGTGATGAGGCCCTGATTATACAGTATCTTATCATTTAGCTCAGTGTGTTTTTCCAGTACAGGTGGTACCTTGCAATTTGACCTCCCACAATTCAATGGTCAAATTTGCAGGGAGGTTGACTTGCAATTTGACTTGCTTTGGCCACATTTTTGCACTTTCTTTTTTAATTACATGAAGTGTCACACAATTCAACTGCTTTGCAATTTGACCCTAGTTTGACAACAGATTAGAGTCAAATTGCAAGGTACCACCTGTGTATGGAAGGTTGTTCTCAAAGGCAACTCTGTGACATAAAACAGATGAAAAACATTGATAATGAAAGCATTTGCACATCTTTGCATTAGTCCATCAAAAAAAGAGCCTAGATATTTTGGATTCTACCTCTTCTACTCTTACACGAAGAAAAACACCCTCAAAAATAAGCCGAGTCAGCATCTGAAAATGCATGACGTTCATTTCAACAAATTATGCTTCTCTTCAAATCCATCACTGATAAAAATTCAACTCAGATTTCCACCAATCGTTAAATGATACAATAGTTAACAGATAGCAAGGGTCAATTTACAAAGCTAGGACATGAGAGACAGATGATTTCAATGAGAAACGGATCAAAGTCATATTTTATGCGGGCCCAGAAATCAACAACAGTTCAAGTCAATCAGATGGACAAACTTTTTCCCTGTTGAGAAGAAAAAAAAACTTTTAAATACACGAAAAGGGATGAAGCCGAGTTATTTTTAATATGGGATCCTAACAAAAAACACGGGCAAAATGGATAAAAATCATGAAAGTTACTCATGTATCACTTTCCCACAGAACGGGACACGCAATTTGCTCAAAATGTCTTCCGATGCAGAATACGGGCACCGTCTGATTCCCACTCCTTCTTCGTCACCCACATTCTCCGGAAGGATTCCAACGCTGCCACAATGGATCCACCGATCCAAGTCGAATAAAGCCTCTCCTGTGGTGCTGAAATCTGAAAAAAATTCAAATCAGGTTTAAAAATTGAAAATAAAGTTCAAATTCCGCTTCACCAAAAAAAAATTTGCTGAGAAACATGCTGACCATATTTTTGCTTTGTTTATTGTAATTCCGGATTAGAAAAAATTGGAACAGCAGACATAAAATTAATACAGGTGGCCTCTCTCTACAACGAATTATTTCTGGTCCTTTGAATATCGTTACAGAGGGAGTCCACCTGTAGGCAAAAATTTCTTACATTACTGTAAATAAATTCCATGATGCATTTCGAAGGGCTTCTCACACTGTTAGCGATTTTTCAAGTTTCTCTTAAGCGGATCTCGTAAAAAGAAGTCGCATTGCTTCTCATAAACAATTGAAGGAATTGTTCTTCAGAGTTGGTGGTAAAATTAAAATAGGGCAGGCAGTAATTTTAGTTCAAAGATATAAATTTGAGAATTCAAGCAACAACACTTTTTCGGAAAGGGCATTGAAAGTCTTGCGTCGCGTCTGATCAGAAAGAAATTTCGCTTTCAAACTGCAAACAGAGGTTTCTGGAATTAATTTTAAAGACTCAATTTTAAATTTCAATGATTATTTTTTCAGCATCAAGTCTTGAACAACACATGATACGAAACACAAGATAACATTTTCAACCCCAAGTTTTTGAACAAAACTGAAAAGCCTTTCTCATGTGAGAGAATACAGTGAGACTGTGAAATGCAGAGACCCCAACATACAGACAGAGACTCAAGATATGGACACTTCTTCAAGATTTCTGGAAGAATTGGAAAATTACACTTTTTATACATTTGTGTATTTCTTGAAATTAAGCTATTTACATTCAACAGGCTAAATTTCATTTTTAAATTAACCTAATTCATAATCAAAAAAGGCTAGTTTTGCACTTTTTTTCATCATGCATGGTCAGTATAGCAAGATTTGGTCTTAGCTCCTTGAGCTCCTTCTGATGCCAAAAGATTGGATTCTGTGTGGTATAGTTATGTACATTTATTTTACATAAGTTGAAGTTGCTAAAAATTATTTGATTCACTTTTTGAAGGATTTTTCTCAAATATTTATAGGCAGGAAAATACAGTGAGAGCCCCACATGCAAAACCTTATTTTTCCATTAAAAATTAATTTTAAAAAAGGCCTGACATGTGGACTTGTGGGATAAAATTGCAAATAAGTTTCAGGCCAAATTAAAAAAAAAAAAAATATATTTCCAACCCTAAAATTGATCTAAGAAAAGTTCTTGGGCATTTCTCTCACCAATTTACCATCCATTCAGCTAATTAAAAATATTAACTTCCAGCATAAAGGGACTTCCTTCTCTCTTTTCCACTTGAATGTTATTTTTTCACAGAGAATGCCAACATTTCTGTGTACTGCATAGAGGTATCAGTATTCAATTCCCCAAATGTCCATATTGTATAGAAATATATTGATTGGAATCAGTTTAAATTGGGAGACAATTTAATACGGGCACCGTCTGATTCCCACTCCTTCTTCGTCACCCACATTCTCCGGAAGGATTCCAACGCTGCCACAATGGATCCACCGATCCAAGTCGAATAAAGCCTCTCCTGTGGTGCTGAAATCTGAAGAAAAAAAAATTAAAAATATTCGAATCAGACCGATGAACTAATCAGGTTTTAACATCGCAAAAAGTTCAAATTCTGCATCCCCAAATAAAAATGTGCTCATGTTAATCATAGTTTTGCATAATTTATTGTAACCCGGATGAGCAATGTGGATAAGAATTGTTCTATGGAATTTCCCTACATTTTTCAAAACCCAGAAATTCCAAGTAATTTAGAATGCATATCGTTTCATGTGGAAACCGCAAACAGAGGTTCGCGAAGTCAATTTTCAAGACTCAATTTTAAATTTCAATGACTATTTTTTCAGCATCAAGTTTTAAACAACACATGATATGTAACACAAGGTAAGATTTTCAACCCCAACTTCGCACAAAAATGAAAAGCCTTTCCCAAGTCAGAGAATACAGAAAAAGACTGTGAAATGCAGAGACCCCAACATACAGACAGAGACTCAAGATATGGACACTTCTCCAAGATTTCTGGAAGAATTGGAAAATTATATTTTCTTGAAATTTAGCTATTTACATTCAAAAGACTAAATTTCATTTTTGCATTGAACTAATTCATAATCAAAAAGGCTAGTTTTGCACTTAAGAAATTTTCCTCAAACATTTTTTGGCAGAAAAACAAATTAAAAATACAGTGAGGGCCCCACATGTGGAAACTTATTTTCCCATTCAAAATTAATAAAAAAAAAGACCTGACAGTGGACTCTGACTTCACATATGTACTAGTGGGATAAAATTGCAAATAAGTTTCAAGCCAAATTATTATAAACAGATATTTCAAACCCTAAAATTGATGTAAGAAAAGTTCTTCAGCAATTCTCTCACAAATTTACCATCCATTCAGCTAATTGAAAAAAGTAACTTACAACATAGAGGGACTTCCTTCTCTCTTTTTCACTTGAATGTTATTTTTTTCGCAGAGAACGCCAACATTTCTGTGTACTGCATAGAGGTACAGTATCAGTATGCAATACTCCAAATGTCCATATATTGTTGAAAGATATTTATTTAATGAATTTCAATAGGCAGGCAATTTTTATTTTCATGGAATTATGGTGAGTATTTTGTCCATAAAACACCAATTAAAAATTACTTAATCTAAGTCCAAGGGAAAATGAGACTTAACTTTGGAGCATTCAACTTAAGGACACTCTTGATGCACCAATTACACTGCATCTTTGGTCTTGCTGTTTTCCCATTGTAGTCTATGGGAAAATGAGGTCTGACATGCAAATGTTCCAACTTCATGAGGAATTGAAAAATTATGTCTGCATCTTGGTGTCCCACTCTATGTGACAGATTCTGAAATTGTACTGATGACTGAGAAAAAACAACTTGCCAATTACCCAACCCAATAACGTATTCACCACAAAAGACCACAAAATCGAAAATGCTCGGATAACTTAGCTCATCATTCCTCACTGACCTTCACTTTCACATCCTTTGGTGAGAGTTTCTTCACTTCAGACACGAGCCTGTCTCCGAAGCCCTTCAGCAAAGTTGTACCTCCACTAAGAACTATATTTTGATACAAGGTTTTCCTCAAGTCCATGTCCGACTTTTGAATTGAATACGCTAGCACTTCATGAACTCCTTCGCACTCTTCGCCAATCAGGTCGGGTCGGAACAACACTTCCGGTGCCCGGAAACGAGCGGGTCCGATCTGCAGCGACACCAATCACACAAAAATTGACGTTGACTATCACCCACTTCAATTCGAAAAAATGATGAATCTAACTCACGTCAATCGTTGAACCGTCCGGAAGCGGAAAAGTAGCTTTTTCGGTCTCCACCGTGCTCTCTTCTCGCTGCGGATTAGCGGCCAAATAACACCCAGCTTCTTTCAAGCTACGCACGATTTCAAATTCCGCAGTAGTCTTGAAACACGTTCCTTCACGTCTCAGCAACAACCTAACGAGAACAACGAAACTCTGTTCCATCCAACACAGGACAACCCGACGAGGAATGGATGGAATCTCGAATAGAGCTCAACAACGATGACAACCTAATCTCACCAGACGATCAACGCGGAATAAACCTCACCTGAACACTGATCAACACGAGCACTGAACAATGATTCCGAAGCTTGACATTAATTCTAGAGCTGAATTGTGGGTTCACGGGTATCACACGAGAGATCACGATGGAGGAACCGAAAGTTCAACGAAATGAAGAATTTTGACACGTTCAACACTGATTCCCGAATGGTAATAGCACGTCGTTCTCACCGTAAATATCTAGTAACATCTCGTCCAGCAACATCGACCCTCATTATGGAATGTGGAACAGCAAAGCCTTCATAAATAGGGACAGCGTGCGTCACACCGTCACCGCAATCGAGTACAACTCCTGTCGTCCTCCCAGTCGCGTATCTACGAAATGAATCATAATTTCAATACAAAATGAAAATAAAAAACGACAAACAAAAGGACTCACAAACTGAGTATGGCTTGCAGAGATACGAATAACGCCGGAGCGTTAAAGCCTTCGAAAAATATTTCCGCAGCCTTTTCCCTGTTTCTCGTCGGGTTCAGGGGGGCTTCGGTCAGAAGCACCGGATGCTGTAATCGGAAATTAATTACAGTAGATGAAATCCCATTCGACGTAGCGTTACGTTTTCGGAAAATGTTAGTAATCCCTTTTGCAGGGAAGAATCGGTAGCTATTTACGCTTTTCGTGTCTTTACAATTACTGTAGTACCGAATCGATGCATCAACAGAAACTCGAGGTAGTCGTGAAACATGTTCATAAAACCAGACCTCTTCAGGGAAAATGTTGAGCATCTCCTTGGAATAGACGAATTGCCATATTTTCTCCATATCGTTCCAATCTGTGACAATGCCATGTTCCATGGGATATCGAATGTGCAGCATTCCACGATGTTCTTCAGCTTTCGGTCCGATGAAGGTTTCCCCTTCAAGCGCGCCGGCCATCACACGGAAGTGCTTCGGTCGCCCGATGCTACGAGATTTGGTTCAATCACGAATAATGAACAACGTGAACATGTTGAATGCAGCTTAAATCTCGCAATCACTTCAGCCCAGGAAACAGAGTAGACTTCCAATAAAACAGGGCGAAACGGACGGACGTAATCAAATGAAAAACTCACTAATTTGGGAAGTAGACCCTAGGCTCCGTGGCACCGGCAAACCCAGCTTTGATCATTCCAGAGCCCTGTAAAGATTCGCAAATTGATTTAATGGCGAGATGAAGATAATAACACCATCGACAAGACTTACATTGTCAATAACAACCGGCTGGTTTACGTTTATCGCGTAGGAATCCATCGGCCCCGAGAAATACCGTATATTGATCACCCCAACAAAACGAGAACAACACTAATGCATTTTCGGTACAGCACAGCACAAATCAGAGAAACCTGCGCATGGAAAACAAAACTTAGTATCAGAAGCACAGCAAATAAATCTTTCGCAAATTAATTTGTACACCTGACAAAGTTCAACCACAACGTCGTCCACCGTCCAACCGCACCCAATCTGCTGAAGAGAGCAGCCATGTTTATCGCTTCTGTCAGCACTTCGTATTTGTCACAGAGCTCTTTCGAGAGAGTTATACACACTTTTTTTTTCAGCACTTCACATCTTCCATTTCTGGTTAGTCACTTTGTCTTTTGTGCAGATTCGTGGCGGCCTTTGAAGGCGTACATGGTTTCGTGGACGCCCAAAAATTTTTCCACAGTGTTGATCGCCTTCACCGGCAGCAGCCTTCCTCATACAAACATGTATACACACAAATTCTTGGTTACTGTATTTACAAACACAAAAAGCCCCCTACAAAAACCAAATTCACATCATGAAAACCTGATACATGCAAGGATATTTCAGTATAAAAATGTTTCATGTAATACCTGGCAAAAATGCGAGGCCATCTGAAATTATCTGCCCTGAAAAGACCCAGCAATACTGTACAATCCATATGACATAAAATAATGTTTAAAAGTATTTGGACTTATTCAAATAAATAAATAAATGTTAAAAGGAACCAGCAAAGTTTTTATAGTTGGTCAAAATACTCATGACACAGTGAAATAAATATGCAGAACCTTTTAGCCTTAGAACTAAAATAATCATAATAATAAATTTGATTAAATCTTCCCCTTTTCTTGAAAATTACTTTTATATTGTTAGTGTGTTAATTTCCTAATGGAAATGCTTAGCTTTCCTGAACCCCTTCTGGGATTCTGGTCTTGGACTGTGCACCTGCTCATTGAATTAGGATGCCAGGACAGTAGGACAAATTTCTTCTTCTAATTTTCTCAGAAAAAAAGCCAACAACTCACGCCTTGAGGAATATAAGCAAGTTGCCAATTTGAGGCAAGACAATCATCTCTTGGTCAGTCAATATGGCTGCTATAACCTCTTTAGTGACATAGTCTGGTTGTAAAATGGGCAGAACATTTGACCTGACCCCTTCAAACATTCCAGTGGCAACAAAGTAGGGGCACACACAAGTGGTTTTCACTTCTGATCCACTTGCCTGCAAAGAAATAAATAGGTATGTATTTTTACTTCATTAAAAATGTATCAATCAGATTGAATCCCATTATAAAAAATGTTTCATGTGTATTAAGAATGCGCTTTCATAAGTCCAGATTGAAGGCATGTAAATCAAATATATAAAATCTGAAAACAGTAAATTCTTATCAGATTGAATCATGGTCCCAAAAATTATTGCTTGGAACAAATTAACTCATGAGGCTCCTATAGTTGAGGCTCATTATGCCAAATTTAAAATCTTGAAATGAACTGCAATAGACCTGAAATCCATCACAAGATGTTAAAGTGTGCACATTATTCACATTTTTTTAATTTCTCAGGTTTTTCTCTGGCACACATCACACAGTTTTAAAAATCTTTAATATTATTTTTATACAATAATTACTCAGGCTATTTATTACTGTATATTGTTTCAAAGAGTATGAAGCTGACACAGAGTTTTTCATAAAAACGCATTGAAAAATCAGAAAATGCAGGTTTTATGAATTATTGTATGTTTCCAAGTGCCAGCCATAATAAAGAATCATTGAACAACAAATGACTCAAGATTTTTGGAAAGATTTCATGTGCTGTTGATCAGCTTTTAAGTACTGTATACTCCTCACTTGCTAACTACTACAGATCAGAAGGGGAATCATTGTTCAGTGTTACCAATTTATCCCAAAGTTCAGAATATGCTTTGTCTCCTATAATGACAGATTTTTCAAAAATGATTTTTTTGGCCATGTACTGTAAAAAGATGCAGAGTTAGTCTTACCTTGAGCTCATTCCTCAAAGCTTCATCAAATCCTACTGCAGCAAATTTTGAAGCACAATAGTCAACCAGTTTGTTGACTCCAGTGTGTCCAGCCAAAGTACTGTAAAAAGATGCAGAGTTAGTCTTACCTTGAGCTCATTCCTCAAAGCTTCATCAAATCCTACTGCAGCAAATTTTGAAGCACAATAGTCAACCAGTTTGTTGACTCCAGTGTGTCCAGCCAAACTGGCCATGGTCACAATATGACCCCTGTTCCTCTCCAACATGCCTGGCAAAAATGCCTTCACTGTCTGCAAAGAAATAAAATACAAATACTGTAATGAAGAAACAAAGATTAAATCACAAGAATATACTCAGATGATTTCTCTGTTTTGTCTTTCAATAATGATGCAAGTCCATGACTCACCCAAAAATGACAAATGGCATTGACATTCATAGTCAGAATGTTCTGCTGGTCAGAGGTGGACAAGAAGGACTTGCCAGACACTACACCAGCATTGTACCCAAAAATGACAAATGGCATTGACATTCATAGTCAGAATGTTCTGCTGGTCAGAGGTGGACAAGAAGGACTTGCCATAAACTACACCTCGTAACAACTACTCCTACAGTTGACACGGTTGAAGGAAAACGTGGTTGACCCGGTGGGACTTGTGTAGTAGGGAAAACGTGTCCAGGTGGAACTTGGGTACGTGGTATGACAGGTGTAAATAACGACTTTCCAACCCATGCTTCTTATTGACAGAAGATGACTCATGGTATGCTCTCAGCAATCTCAAAGTTTCATTGTTACCTTCATAAATACAGTACAGTATAATCCATGACATAATTTTATCAAGGCAGAGATGTCACCTGGCAATTCAACCTCCCAAAATTTGACTGTCCCAAAATTTGATTGTAGAATTTGCAGGGATAGGTTGGCTGGCAATTTGAACTCTGTACCAAAATTTGACCTGCTTTATGGCCTGCTTTATTACAAACGTGAAAAGACGACTATAAAGAGTTAAAATGTTTCACAACGTTAAGTTGGTGAAACGTTAAACTGGGATCAGACCGTTATTACCTAGTCCCAACTTAAAGTTCGATGGTGAACAATACATATATCATTTCAGGAATCAAAATCAATTGGTTCTATTTGGAATCCTTCTATGCAAATTCCACCAGCTGCTTAAAATTATAAGTTTCAAGCACATAATTCAATTTAATCTGTGGAAACCTCTGCATGATGAGGAATATAAATTCAGCCAATAATGAGTTTTGCAAAACATATACTTGTGGAATGAGATTTTTTTGGGAAAATATACATTTATAAAATGCATTTCACATAATTACATGACTTTCTCATCAATTCTATATCTTACAGGGAATGAAGCTTCAAATATATCTTGCACATGCATGGCATCATCAGACATGAACAAAGCTCTTTCCCAAACCAGAATATTTGCTTTCAAAACATATGAGGCCACATCTGGACATACATTTCCTATTATCCTTGCAAACATCCCCAGGGTCTTCAATTCTACATTATAAAGTGCTGAAGATTATCAAAACATTGTTATGAAATTATAGATGTATCTCTCTCACATTAGCAGAGCATTTTGGAAATGAAGCTGGCCCTTTTTTTTTGCTATAGGCAATCAGATGGCCTCCTTTTTAACCATTAAAAAAAAAGCAAATTGGCAACACTTCTTTACCTTCTTCATCAATGTCCCAAGTGACAATTCTACAGCCCTTCTTGGCCAGTTCCAAGCACAAGAGTCTGCCCATCCCTGAGCCACCTCCAGTGACCAAGGCCACTTGTCCAGCAATGTCCTTCATCCTCAGGCTCTTGGGGATGAAAAACAGGACCCATGACTCCAAAATGTAGTAGATGATGAGGAAGATCCCCACAACCAGGTCCAATAACAGAAAGCTCATCCTGAATTTTCCTCAGCTTTCCAACCACAGAACACATGACAAGTGGAAGGAGGATAAAATCACAGGCAATGTGGCTTCACTTCCCACACACATTTATTTCATCTCATTGGTCCACTCACCTCAGGCCCCTTTTTTTTCAAAACAGTTAAAAAAAAAAGAATCACAAGTGGAGTTTGATAAGCTCATGATGAAAATCTGATCATTGTGTATCAGCTAAAATCAATCATAAGACATAGATTTTTACCTTTCAAGGTTGAAATTCATAAATTACAGGAGTATCTGAAAACTAACACAGCAACAACTAACCTATATTTGTTTTATTATTTTTGACTAATACTGGACAATACATTTTTGAATCAATTCACAAAATATCACCCCAAAGGGATACACAACTGCCAACCTTTCTTAAATCCATAAAATTTAAAAAATTAAGTTTCTTGCTTCATGGAAAAACAATTTCATATCAATTCACTTTCAAAGAATGATAATTGGGGACATTTTCCACATACTTATATGCTTCAGCTTCATGGACACTATTTCTAAATTTCAAGCTAAATTAGGAATAAATATAAGGCATGTTCCAAACACTAAGAAATACAGCAATGAGGGCAGTCCAAAATGTTTCTTTGTTCATCAAAATACAATGAAATTGATGTTGGATGCATGATAATCCAGGCAACAAATTGTTGGGAATTTTCCTAAAGTGCTACACTTTTCATGAATTAAGTGATAAATTAGTTTTAATAAATTGGAATTGGTGCCCTTTGCTCATGTTATTTTCCAAAATGCAATTTGTTCTGGTCAGGTCAGGTCTTTTTTGTGGTTCATGAGAAATACATGTGAAGCCTGTCTGAAATTTTAGAGGGACAGATATGAATGACATTATTGAAGAACAAACAACTTGAAATAAAGTTCTGAATCATCAAAAACTATCATTGATATTTTACATGCAGTACTGTATTTGACAGGTTTATACCCCTGGGATTTATAAATTACAGAGAAAGTATATGGTTCTTTATACATATACTTAAAGACAGATTTCATGATGAAGTATTTGCTATACATTTGGTTAATATATTTCACATGGCATTATGTGAAAGAGTTCTGAGTTTTTCTAAACTATCTGGACTGGGTTGATGAGATATCTTGAGACAGTTCATTGCTCCCACATCCATTATTCAATGCTCACCCAAATATGTTCCTGGCTGGAAGTATATGTTGACTGCTTTTCTTTATCTTGAAACCCTGGCTCAGGTGGCAAATTTGTCTCTGAAATGTCAGGGGAAAATTAAACTTAAACAGGTCATATCTTCAGGGCAGATCCTTGACCATTACACCTGATTGCCTTCCTCATCATACATCTGACATAATCCATATGGAAAAGCAATTGATAAGACTTGATTATACCCAGAGAAATGCATGGTGTGAAAAAAATTTTCCATTAGTATGTCAAAGAAATGCAATAAAAAAATCTATAGGATATTCACAGCATTTTAAATGTTTTCCTAACATTTCTAAATGTACTACTTTTTGCTTATTTGTAAGAAGATTCAGTTTTTTAGGGTGAATATTCATGGTATATAGGTAATCTTTACAAAAGAACATGTGAGAATCCACCATGACTCTATGCATCACTGGATGTAACTTACATGTACTGGAAAATAATTATGATTAGGAAAACCATGCTAAAAATTCTGCAGAAGCCCTTTCACATTTTTGTGTAGTTTTTTTTATTTAGCACTGAATTCACACATGATCAGTAAAATGATATGAAAACACATGTTTTCAAGCAAATATGCTCACCAATAAAGGAGTTGACACACTCCTTGTCACATGTGGCATTATCCTTTTCAGAATGTGATCATGCTTACACCAGAATTGCTGGGCACCATCTTCCTTATTAGTCATGGCTGATGGTGCCAGGAAAAAGTCCCTCTTGGCAACAAAATAACTAATCCACTTCCAATTCCCCACTGTGCAAAATATCCTTTTGCCTGACATGATCATTCCAAGAAATGAAGGTTCTGATGATGGAGCAAATCATACCAGCAAAAAATAATACACAGTTGGGAAGCAAAACAAATTTAAGCCCCCCTGGTTTTTCAATATATGACAATCAAGAAAATTTCAATGAGTAATAAAAAGAAGAGGTAAAAGTTTGGGCTCAGGTTGAAATATTTTCTTTTTTTTTCAACTGTAACCTGACACTTAGCTCTATTTTACCCACTGTGAGAAAAAGAGCAAGATAATCAAAAATGTTGAAAGAGCAAGTGACCTTCTATGGTTTTCACTCTCTCCCTTCCAGGAATCTACAATGTTGCACCTGATTGGCTGAAATGGATAAATTTATGGTTGGAATATTGAATTAACATGGACTGCCATCTAACAGAAGCCAAATTTTCTAAAATATTGAATTGTTTGAAATGGAAAAAAAAAAATTAGTAGATTAAAAAATTAATCTAAAAAACCAAGTTTTCAAAAAGCAAAAAATAACCTTAAACATGGTGCGCATCTATTTCATTTGTATTTCACTTCTTCCCAACAATCTCCATGCGCACCACGTTTAAGGTTATTTTTTGCTTTTTGAAAACGTGGTTTTTTAGATTAATTTTTTAATCTACTATAATTATTTTATTCTTTTTAACATATATTCTTATAATTTTTCTTTTCACAAAAGATTGCATTGTCATCAGTTTCTAAGCTATCCTGAAAGTTTCAGCTTGCTAGCTAGTCAGGAAGTGAGCGAAATTTGAGTTGCAAAATTTGATCCGGACAAACAAACGGACAAGAAAGCGAGTTAATAAAAACGTGTTAATAAAATGTGGGTGTGTGCATCTGATAACCAAAAAAAGTCCTCTTCCAGCAGAGGTCACTCCTCACAAAAATTTCCATAATATTGTAAAAGATAATAAATAAAATTCAACACATTTTCTGAAGCAACATGCATCATATTTGAAAAATGATAATAATCCTTCAATAACAGCAGATTGATCTTCAAAAAAAAAAAACCCACCCAGTAAATACCTTCACTGACTTTCATGGTCTCACAAAAAAAAAAATCTCCCACAAAAACGTCAATCAATTATTTCCATCACAAAAAAAGATAATATCCCACCAACTCTGCTGATTTCTATTTTTCTTAAATATCAGCCTGAAAATTATAAAACCAGCGGAAAATATATCTTCCGCATTTCCTTCAGCCAAAAAAAAAAAAAAATGCGAAGAACATTTTTTTCAAAAGAAACAGACCACATGAAAAATAATAACCCACCTCACAAATCGACTTTTTTCTTTTCCTGACGAGCACCGAATATTTGTGCGATCAACCAACCATTCATTCAATCCATCAATCAATCAATCAATTACAACACCTCCCATCAATTAAATTCCCGAAAGACAAGAGAGAATCTAATACAAAGAGGGCACTCAAAAAAATAAAATAAAATCGATACCATCATCACACTTCTTCCCCGAAAATTCCGCTGAACAAATGGCACCTGAGTCGTGAAAAAAAAAAAATTCAGTTGAAATTTCGACGAGCTGAAAAAAAGGAAAAAAAAAACCCTCCCAAAAAAAAAAAAAACAAACAAAAACAACAACAACATCATCAACAAGAAATCATCTCGTCTTCGTCATAATAATAATCATCATCATCATCACTCTTCAGCAATTGTCACGACGAGCTCGTGATGTTGTTGATTATTATTATTATTATTATTCTGTTGATGCGGCAATTGTTGATCGTTGTTTTTCGCCTTGCCGTCGTCGTCTTCCTGCAAAGGCTTATTCTTTTTATTCTTCTTATTCAAGTCCCCTGCTCGTTGGTGTTGCGAGTCCATCAGAAGGCAGTCGTCGTCGTCGTCGTCCAAGACGGAAACGTCGTCGAGTTTGGCATTGTTGGCCGCCACGACGGCGCAGCGCAATTTGGCCGTCGCCGCCGCCGCCGTCGATTTATCGAGCAGATGATGCAGCGGTGAAGACGTCGCCGTCGTCGTCGTCGCCGTCGTCACGGAAACTCGGGGCTTCGTCGCCGTCGACTCGGTGGGATCCCGGCCCTTGAAGTTGGTCATGGTGGCGTCCACACGCATGATTTCGTGCGTCTTGTCGTAGCCCTTCACCGGAAGGAACCTGATGATGCCACACAAAAAAATACTTTTAATAAAAATACCAATAATAACAATTATAATGACACACGAACACGAATTCAATTACAAACACAGCAGCAAAAAAAAAAAAGGAAAGAGAAAAGAATCCCTAAATGTCGATACAACGATGAAGCCACCTGGACAAATAAAATATCTTTAAACCCATTATAACGAATTTTTTGTTCGTTATATAACGAAAAATCGGACAAAATGGCAGCTATTTGACGGAGACTAATTCTTACGAATTATTACTAATTAACTAAATATTAATATGATATTATTATTTTCATGAATACAGTAATTTCATCCCTTTAATTTGATATATTTCGTAATTTTCGTAATTTTAAGTAAATTAAAGGTGTTCTGCAATATTTCAAAATTTAGACTTTTTCTTGAAAAAGATTTTCTTTATTTTTATGATTTTTAAAGTTGGTAATTTTATAAATTCAAATAACTTTTATTACACATTTTTTCAACAGCAATTATTATGAAAGATTTCATCACTTTAATTAGGTATATTTATTATTTTGGAATTGCATGAACACTGTTCAGTAATATTTCAAAATTTAGGCTTGTTTCTTTAAAAAGGTTTGGCTTAATTTTATGATTTTCAAAGTAATTTTATCAATTCAAATAACTTTTCTTATAAATGATTTAAAAAAAATAATCGTTATGAATGATTTCATTACTTCAATCAAATATATTTCATAATTTGGAATTTTATAAAAGTGTTCAGCAATATTTCAAAACATAAACTTGTTCCTTGAAAAACATTCTCCTCATTTTTATGATTTTCAAAGTAAATTTATCAATTCTAAAAACTTTTATTACACATCTTTTAAACACAAAATATTATGATTAATTTCATCACTTCAATGGAACACATGTCATAATCAGGAATTTCATAAAAAGGTTTTCTGAAATATTTCAAAAGGTACCTTGTTTCTTGGAAATAAATCTCTGAATTCAGACAATTCATGACATAAAGCTTTCAAAATAATCTTTTCTTGAAAACAATCGTCATTACAGTATATTCTACGTTTTTTACATTGTAAAAATTAAGTACATATTCATAAAATGATGCTTCATAAAAGAAGGCTGAGGTTTAACAAAATCATAAGCATAAGATTTCATGAAATAGAACAAGTGTCCTGGAAGAAATTCAAGATAAGTGCAGAATTATTCCTGGATTCATCAGCAAAACACATAAGATTAAACCACAAAATGTTTTCCAATCACACATGCAAAAACATGCTGGAATAATTATGTCCCATTCATGCACATATTCTTT